TCTCTAACCTAAACCCAGGTCCCGGTCTAGATCCCGCTCGAGGTCCCGAGGAAGGAGATATTCTCGGTCACGCAGTCGGAGCCGTGGTAGGAGGTGTGCTTCAGTTTCGTTATTTTATTCCTGTTTTCTTCTTCTGGTTAGAGAAAGCTGCACTTGTACAACTCTTTAATTGATTTCTTTGCAGGTCCAGGTCAGCTTCCTATCGTAGGTCCCGGTCCGTTTCTCCTCGTAGGTCTAGGTCCGTGTCTCCTCGCCGGTCCCGATCGGCTTCCTTGAAGAGATCAAGGTAATTAGTAGAAATTTTTAAAAGACTGTGTGCTTTACTTAGGTTGGAATTTTTTGTTTTACTTAGGTATTGGATAGCAGACTTCAAAAGCTGCTGAGCTCTAGAAGTCAGCTTCTTATAAAGTTTGTGATAATCCTAGTTAAATTCCCTGGTGTGGTAATTCAATGAGTTTTGAGACCTTACACAGCAGCATCTCCCGTAATGAATTTCTATGTGTAAAATGTCTAGTAATCATGTAGGTTTTAAATTCAACATGTGACATTAATTTTTGTTGTGCTGTAATTGTCGTCTCTTCTGGTTGAATTGACTCCTTTTTCATTTATCTTAATTTTTTATTTCAGGTCTAGATCAAGATCCAGATCTAGGTCAAGATCTGTTACATGGCCCCGAAGCAGGTAAGATCTCTTCTGTGACTGCAGATACTTGGTTAGAGTTGCCTAACAGTCTGTTTAGGCTCTCTAACAACTGTTAACATTTTCAGAAAAAGATGTGTTTTCTCTCCACTAACTTAGATGTTTTAAAAAGCAATGCAGAGGATTGTTCTTTTTCTTTTTATTGTTTTGCATGCCACTGACATCCAGGTCACAGCTGTTGGTTTGATCAGGTTGCATTAACAGCTAACAGAGCAAACATTTATCTTAAAAGTTTATTTTTCTTTTTGTAGCACACACAAGATTGTGGATTCTTCCCATTATTTTTCAGAGAAATCAGGATGCCCTTCTGGCAGTGTATTAGTGCATGTAACCAGGCAAGTCCTGAAGGACTTGGTAGTGCCCTGAGTGCTGCAGATGTAGTTCCAGCTCTGTTGAATAACAAAGTGTTTGTCTGCAGGAGCTGACTTCAATTTGAGATAAGCACCTATTAGAATTATTCTGTACCAATAAACGTGTAATGAGTAATGACCAAATTGTAAAGGAACAACAATTCTCTTAAATTCTAGTTCGTAGTAAGTAAATGCAGCTGGTGTTTCACGGAGCCTTGTCCAGGCAGTGTGATTGACAGGCTGGATGTGCTGGATGGACTGTCAGGAGAACAAGAGTAAATTGAAGTTCTGCTCTGGAGATGGTGTTGCTTATGCCTCAGCCCATCCCCGTGCCTGCTGTCCTGGTTTGGGGGCTACTCTTTGAAACAAGTAACATAATGGTTAACCACGAAGAAACACAGGAAAATAAAGAGAACCTTTTATCTGAAGGGAGAAAGTAGAAAAGCCTAAAGCTGAAGGCAGCATTTTCTGACAGTGGAACAGCAAGCAGTCATGGGAGTTTTGAGGGAAGGGAGAGGTGAAGACCAGAAGATGGCTTAATTAAGAGCAGACACTCACACAGAGTAGTCCAGAAGCTAATAAAGAGAGAAGGAAGTTCCCCAAGGCAGTAGATCAGGTACACTTTTCTGCTTGTTGAATCTTAATACCAGTTGTTTCAACATGACTTAATCATGGCTCATCAATGTTCACTCTTGGTGATGAGCAGAAAACAGCTACAGTCAGCAGATTCTCAAAGGAAAGAACATCTTGATTTTACCACCATTGTTTTCTCTTTTTCAATACCAGGGTGGTTTTCTGCAGGGTAAAAGATACCTTTAGTGACATTTCTGGACTATTGTGTGACATCTTTCATTGTGAGTAGAAATTAGGTGACTGAGGCAGAGGAAGTTACAGATGTACAGGTGTAAAGAAGTGGCAAAATAATGGTACTTAACTCCAAGGAGGTCACTGCTACACTTCACATGAGGCAGTTGAAAGGTGGTTTCTTTACAGAAGAGTCCAAAGAATGTGTCACACCTGGAGAAAAGCTCTGTATTCATGAGGACAGACTAAACAAGTACATGATGTTTGCTGGTTTGACAGCATCACAACATACATCTGGAAGTTGTTGTGGAAAGCCTTGGATGTGGAATATAGAACACTTCCTTTGGGGATCTAAAAATTTCAGTTTAGGCAGTATTAGTGTTTCTCATGGTGCAGCAGTCTTATCTCAAAGACTGACATTTAGGACAGTTTTTTTCACAAGGATTAAGTTCAGACATTTCAAAAAATATTTGAAGCAAGTGTACGTATAAGATGAACTTCACAGAGGAGAAGGATACTTGAGGAATGTGCTGTCTGCAGCCAGTTTAACTGTAGTGGTAGATGTCTCTCAAGCCTAATAAAACTTGCAAGTTTAGAGCACGGCTTTATATTAGCTGTGTGAAAATACTGGTCAGGATTTGGGTTGTTCATGTATTCCTGCCACCTGCATCAGCAAACACTAGTCATCAACCAGGGACCAAAGTACTGAGCAACATGTGCAGCATCCATGTTTAAAGCTTTCTTCTGAAACTTAGCAGGCAAAGCCCTGGAAAGTTGCAGGATTCTTTGTGTTCAGCATGACAGTTCTCACACACTGAGTGTGACTGCTGCTGTCTCAAACATGGGAACATGTGTGCTATCAGCTTCCATGCTGAGCTGTGTTTTTTTCTCTTTGTTGTAGGTCTAGGTCTCATGGCAGATCAAAGTCTGGCTCTCCAGCTAAGAGGTGAGCATGCACAGATAGAGCCTGCAGTAGTGTCTCAACTTCAGTGCTAGGTTTGCATGATTAACAGAGCCTGGTCCTTTAGAAAAAAAGTCTCCCAACACGGGCCCCCACCTAATCTGTTTGTGATATGACAGAGATTATAAAATTTTCTCTGTCACTCTTGGGAATATGTTCCCAAAGCTGTCCCTTTGTTTTCATTAACTCTTTGTAGTTTCCAACATATTACTAATTTTTTGTGGGTTTGTGCTCCGTTGTTATATTTTTCTATCCATAAGAAAAAGGGCCTGAGCTTTGTTAATGCTGTTGATAAAACAGCAGGAATCTGTGGTGATGTTTCTCTTCTCAAAGCCTCACGTCAGTACTACCCCTTGCTTTTCTGTTCTATCTGCTGAAGACAGTTGCTTAAAATTAATCTCCTTGCTAAATGAATAGAGAGTCCCTGTCAGAGTAAAAGTTGATTTGAAAAATTTGATGTTGGAAGGACCTTCTGGCTAGATCCCATAATAATTGAATTGCTTTCTGATGTGCTTTTTTTTTTAATATAAAAGTTTTGAATGTGAAAGTATTTGATCTTTAAGCTGCATTGCTGATATTCTGTTTTGACAGTCGGTCAAAGTCCCGATCACCATCTCCAAAGAGAAGGTATGTTGATCTCCCTGCTAGTAACATAGACTCCGTAGAGCTGGCATTTTAGTATCTGCATTGATTTCTGCTGAGGAGTTTGACTGCTGCTTGTAGGAAAATACTGGAAAGGTGTTTTGGTGAAATCTCTTTGACAGAAATAATGTCATGGTTGTGGCTTTATATATGGTAATATGTATACACGGTAGTAATTCCTCAGGGTACTGGTTAGGCAGCAGTGTTATGTCCCATCTTTGTCTGCTCCCCTGTTCCTTTCAGTTCACTGACAGTTTCATTGCATAGAGACTGATAAGCTTAAAACACAGAGTAAATGTAGAAATCAGCTTTCAGTCTCATTAAAAGCTCCATGGAGGTTGGGGAAGGTGGAGTAACCTGGCACAGCAGTCAGGAATGGAAGATCAAGCCTGTGACTTTTACTGCTGTCACATAGATTATTTGTTCTATCCCAATAACTCAGTAAAGTTTTCTCTCTGTATGTATGCATTATGTGTAGTGACAGAACCAGCAGCACTTTCTCCCTAATTTGAATTCTTTAATAGTTCATTTTTACAACTTCAGTGTCAAACAATCACAAGGGTGTGAGTAGGTACTCACAAACGCTGAATGATCACAATAGGTTTTGACAAGCTGATGTTTCAGAACAGCGAAGAGGTATCCTACCTCTCTGAAGGTCACTATTAGTAATTAGATAGCCCGACAGTAATCACTTGTAAATTGTATTATAAGAATAACAGGAAAGAAATGCAAAAATTTGAAAGAAAAAAAAAGTATCATGTCTAAATCATCAACCTATTACCATTTTCCATACTGATTGGTTATTTTATTTAAAAACAGTGCTTAAAGGGTGCCAGAGTCTAGGTGTCGTCCTGTTGCCTTTTCCTGTATTCATGAACTCCAAAGGACTGCTGAAATGTTAATTGTGGGTTCTTTTCCTTTCAGCCGCTCGCCATCAGGAAGCCCGCAAAGAAGTGCAAGTCCTGAAAGAATGGATTAAAGTTATGAAGTTAATCTTTTAGGAAGAAAGTTATTTTGCTTACATTATTATAAGGGATTTTGTGGTGTCTTTGTAAATGTAAGAATGTAGATAGAAGAGTATATCGACTAAAATTTGGCATGATCTGGGTCTTCTGAGTTAGTCACACCAATAGACTAGCACAGGTCTCTTTTTATTGTATGAAATAACTTCCTGTGATATGAAAATGTGGGACTTTTTTATTGGCACATTGAAATAAAATGTGTATTTTTAACTAAAACCTCTCTGTAGTAACCCTGCTGCTTCTGTTAACATTTGGGTAATTTTAGCTGTGTGCCATGTAATGTGGATGACAAATGTCTAAAATGGGAATGACTAACACTGGTCAGTGTCTTCTCAAGGCAGCCACTTTTCACATCTACTGTTGAATGGTCTTTGGTGAAAGGATTGGTTCCTGCTTTCTTTAAAATGGAATTTAAAATCCATGTCTGTTTACAGATGGATAAAAATTGGCATATGACCGTTTCATTCCTTGATGATTATTTAGTGGGCATTCATTTTTTTCTCTGATTTGCTTATTCTGCAAAGCTTATTCCCTGGTGTTCGACTGGTGATACCAGATGCTCGAAAATTTAAGGATAAACTTTTCTCCAAAACACATCTTTTAAGCAGATAACATCTGCAGAAACCTCTAAAGGTAATAGAAATCATTAATAACTTGACAATTGCTACTTTCATTTGTTTCATTTTTTAGTTCCTTAGGCTGTTAATATAAAGAAAACTTCTTAAAATATCTCAAGGCGGGTTTTCCTTTTTTGAGGGAAGGAGTAAGGCCTTCTGAGCTACTTTCTGAAGGACCTTATGAAAATGTGTTTGAGAGGCGAAAGAAAGCTGTTGCCAGTCTTTCTGCAGCTCACTCAAACTCTCCTCCTTTAAGATTCTCAACTGACCTCAGGAGTTCTAACCTGCTTCACAGAAACTGGTATGTTTTTAAAGCAGCCTCCATATCCTGGAGATGGTTTTGTTGAATTATGCTAATTTCTTACAGCAGATGTACAGCCTGCAGGACTAACTATTTGTGTATAGGTGTGTCAAACTCTGTCCTCATTCTGTATAAAAGAATTGTATGATAAGGCACTTTGTTGACACAGATCACAGTAAAAGACTGGAAACAACGTTAGAAGACTGCACAAACAAACTGGTAGGCAGAGGGGAGAAAAGCAAACTTTTTTTTTTTGCTAGGATGGGATATCTAGCAGATATCCCAGTTTCAGCAGTAAATAAGCACTGAAATGGAAAGCAAGGCCTGTTTGGGCTTCTAAGGCAATCTGTCATAGCAGTTTGCTTCCCATGTGTAAACCACAGCAGAGCAGCTCACCTGGAAACAGTTACAAGGTGAACTTGGGTCACACCTTGGGTAATGTGGTTTTCAAGAACCAGGTTTACTGTTAACATGAAGCTTTTCCAGTGTTAACAGTCCAGATTCTGAGCGTGCTGACCTGCTGCAGCATCATCTGGCCCTTGTGCCTGGTCCTCACTGCTGTGGTGCACCTGGATCCTCCCTGGTGCCCACGATGGGCATTGGGTGTTCCCTGTGCCAGGTGCAATGATCAGTATTCCGGCAATACCCGTTAAATTCCGCTGTTGCCGCAGTGGGAGAGCAGGGGGTGGCACGAATGTTACTCTGCAGCGATTCAGCCCAAATGCTCAAAGCCTGTGATCCGTGTTTGGAATATTTACTGGTTGTGCAATGCCTGCCCAGTTTATGGTGTGCCTGGTGAGAGGCACATGTACACCACTACTCTGGAATTTGATCACCTTTTCTTTTCTGTACTCCTACGGCAAAACTACTCCACAATAAACCTGCAGACTGACACGACAGCTATGCTGGTACCTGTTTTTCAGTACCCAGAGACACCGTGGAAGACTGAGCTGAGGAGCCCAGGGTTTCTGCAGGGGGCTGGGGTTCCTCTAAACCTGGGTGTAGCAGCAAGAATGTGAGCAAGGAGGCAGGGCTATGCTGGCAGGGACGGCCACTGCAAAGGACAGCAAGCACTTCAAGGTGCAGAGAGGGAGCAGTGACAAAGCTGGCATCCGTGCTGCTGTGCAGCTGTGGTGTCCAAAACGGGGTGGCTGTGCTGTCTCCCTTAGCTCATCATCATCTTTGGAGGCTGCGCAGCTCCAGCCCTCACCTGAGTCTGGGAGGATTTCACCACAAATTCCATGCAGTGGGAGCAATTGGAAAAGATCCCCTGAGGGGTGTGTTGTGTGACGGCTGCTGCTGTGACCTGGGCCCTGCACCTCTGGGCAGGGTGTGCACACCCCACACAGCCTGGGTCAGGGGCAAGGGGACACGTATCCAAGGTCTCTGGTGCGATGGGCAAACCCCACTCTCATAACAGGATTCCCCTGATTTGCAATCTGGCATTCCCTGCTACTGGGCTTTGCTCTCCAAGTGGGTGCCTGGCCCAAGAACTGTCTACCTGTTTCCCTGGGGAGAGGGCTGTCAGCTCCCTAATATGATGGTACGGCCATCCCCTGGCTTATGCTAATTTTTTCCGAAACCTCAGAAACATGGAGGTTTTCATCAGACAGGCCCCTCTTACAGGGGTTTTGAGATTACATGTTTCATGTGGAAACACAACATTAAGATGATGGTTTTCCTCCTGCAGTTGTATATTCAGGACTAAATAGATGTGCCTGCTTCACTTCAGCAGCCAAGGCATCTTCCATACTATGCTCTTGTGCAGCTCTTGCTGGCTTTGAAATAGGAGTTGAACCAGAGGATCCAGGGCATCCAGGTGAGATAATCCCAGCACAGTGTCCTCCACAAAGCTATTCTGCATAGGCACTGTGCACTGTGTAAAGACAGCAGCAGCCAGCACAGCTCAGAGCACTTTGCAGATATTGTAATGAACAACCACAACTGCATCAGCCTTCCCACGTGCTTTGCTTGAATATCACAGATGTTCCCCTGCTGTAGTTGGAGCTGTGACATGCCATATCCCTAAACAAGGTGTTCTCAGTGCATTTTTTACTGTGAAACAAAACCTAGTGCCCAGGATGAGGCTAGGCAGAGTGTGAGAGCTTTGCATAGAACAGATAGCAGCAGAGGTGGTGACAGGAGTTAAAGCCAGCGGAAATCACAGGTGAAAACCACAGAGGAAGAAAAATGTTCCCAAGTGGGATGCATTACCCAGGGTAGTTGGAGAGCTCTGTTCAGCAGATGGGAGGGTTTATGGGTAAGCTACTGGAGGCACTTACCCCTCTCACTGGCAGGAGTCAGCAGCCCTTCTGCTCAAGCACTGCTGAACACGAGCCACGTGGTGGAGTTGTATTCCTCACCCGGATGGAGTAGGACATTGGGGAAGTGGGGCTGGGGAGAGGCAGCAGCACGTCAGTGACTGAGTGAATTCCATAGGACCACAAAGATTCATAAAAGCACAGCTGCATCCCTTTGGCCTTCCCAGGGCATCATCCTACAGCTCCCCCCAGCCATTTCCAGCAGCAGTGTGTAACCCCCTGTCACTTGCCAGCTGGCTGAGTGGGCAAGTCCTCCCGCTGGTTGAACTCAGGCCATGAGAAATAATTCAGATTTATGAGGACGTGGCAAGGCCCCAGTGGGGTCTTATGCTCTAGGCCCCATGCTTTTGGGAAGCTGGGCTGCACAGGGCTAGTCCCTGCTGCACTGGCTGACCCCTCCCTAAGGCCACAGTATGCTGTGACCTGTGCCTGCTTGTTCTGGTGTCTACAAAGCCTCTCCAAGACTCTGTTTATATATTTAATGCCCCAGAGACATGGAAGGTGGTGGGGGTATGGTCCCCTGCCACAAGACCCAAGTAGCTCCTGTGGGGGGGACAGTTCACCTTGTTGACGGCGTCGGGCCAGTTCTGGGTTTCCAAGCAGAAAGCTGAGTGCTTGGGGTATGTGATCCCACCTTTGCCCTTCAGGGAGCCATCAAGGTTGTTCCCGGTGTAAAACTGGATGCCAGGCTCGGTGGTGTGAACCTCCATGGTCCTGCCGGTGGGTGGGTGGCGAGCCCTGGGGAAATGCCAGTGGAAGATGCCAAGGGACTGGCTGAAGGGGCACCCCACAGTTTTAGGGGTTGGGGACCCCTTGCCAAGGTCCCAGCCTACCTGGCTACAAGGCGTGGAGACTGCACCTGCTGCAGGCAAAAGTTGTGGTCAAAGCCATCCAGGTGAAACTTCTGCAAGTGCTTTCCCAGCTCCACAGGCTGCCGGAGATCGAATCCGGTGCCCTGCACGGCGGCCACCTCCCCTAAGCAAGGAGAACAGCAGCGTCAGCCACTCCCCCACACACCAGCAAACCCCTGTGGGGCTGGTCCCTGGGCAGGATTGAGATCTGTTGGTTTGATGAGCCGAGGGGTTTTAGCCATTTGTGATCCTTGTCTCGGTGCAGTGTCCTGCTTCAAGCAAGGGCCACTGTGACTTGGGCTGGGACATCACTACCTTGTCCCCAGCACAGCTGGCAGCCCCTGGGGGCGCTGCTGTTCTTAGCAGGGGCAAAGCACAGATACGGAGCAAGAAAACTCAAGGGAGGTTTGTATTGGTAACTGTACAAGCCAATTAATATAAACCCAAAACTTCTTAGCTATTACTGTTTGTGTATGCATAATATTTACATACAGACACTATCTATCTCTGTAAAAAGAAATTAATCCTCTCAGATCTCTGAATAAACATCTGTGAGATGGCCATGAAGGTGGTCTACCTATGGGATGGTGAATATGGGACCAGTGGGACCAGTCCCCTGCTGCCTCAGGGCATTGTTTCAGGAAAATGGTTCAAGACCATAAACCCAACATTTTCTCTTGTCATTTTTAAGGTCTGCTGTGGGAATGAAGTCCTGTGAAGCAAGAACAGCCCTAAGACATACTAAACAGTGTAAAACACAGTCACGCCAACCCAAAGGCATAGGAAAGGGGAGAGATGAAGGGAAGGGGAGGGATGTTTTCCTAAAGTCACATTTTTTCTACCCCTCTCTAAAGAGAGATGTTTCCAAAGGTCAGCAGGCAGCTGCCAGCATTGGGGATGGTGGTGTGGGAACATCCCAGCCCTGTTGCAGGCCCCATGAGCTGTGCTCTGCTCACTCCAGCTTGGCTGTGGCTCTGCACAAGGTGTGCCCTGCAAACCGTGGGAAGCATCAGTCTGCACCTGACAAGCAGCACATTTCTGTGGCTCCTGATCCTGTCTAAAAGGAACACATTTACTCAATTCAGCCATGAGGTGGAAAAACACCTTGGAAAAAAATGAAACCATTCTGATTCAGTTACTCACATAAAATACAGCAGCCATTGCATGCCAGGGCTGTGTCTTTAATACTTGCACAAATCTTGTCTTCATCCCAGGACTAAGACTACACACAGAAAAGGGAACTGCAAAAAGCAGGGGTAGCAAGCTGGCCACAACTACGATGCGAAACATCTTCATGGTGAAAGAAGCAGGAAGAAGCAGGGCAGTGGTTTTGGTATGGCCTTAAGCTTTTCCTGTGCTTGTGCACAGGCATGACATGCCAAGCTCAGCAAAAGCCACATGAACCAAGGAATCCACTCCTCCAGGTGGCCCAGGTAGCTTGTCTCAGGTAGCTTGTATGGACCCATGTTGCAGTCTCACATCACACATGCCTCTGGCCCCATTTCCTGCTGCTCCTGCCTGCACTCCCTAGGCAGACCTAGTCTCCAGGTCTGGGGCCTGGTGATGTAACCAGCACCTGGCTCTGCCCACTCTGCTCAGGCACAGTGGGGCTGTGCCCATGGATGAGGGCCCCTGGGATCCCCTTGGTGCTGGTGTGTCCCCCTAGCTGGGCACTGCTGCTCCCAACACCGACATCCTCCTCTGACAAACCGCTCCCCCCATGTGCCACACATGCTGTGCCACCCACCGGTAGGGATCTTGGTGTCGTCCACAGGCAGGTAGGAATCTGCTTCAATGGAGATCTCGTGGTCATAGACATCCGGGGAGCCCTGCAGGAGGATGGGAAATGCTGGGATTCCTGCTGCAGCCCTTCCACTGCTCAAGCAGCCCTAAGCTCATTTGGGAAGTGACCGCCCACAGTGGTGCTACAGCTGATCTGGTAGTGCCTGGCCATCATCCTACCCCGACCTTGGGCACAGGACAAAGGTACTGGCACAGGCAAAAATCTTCATGGGCCCTAAGAACTGCAAATCCCACAGGGCTTGTACCTCACCAAGCAGTACCACCCTGAAGACTGACTATCCAGCAAAGGGCAAAGGGGGAAGGAAGCAAGCAGGGGAGAATGAAACCCATCCTCCTGGCTCATCTCCTGCATCACAGCAGGGGTGAGCTCCTTCTCTTCCACAGCCTCAGAAATGCTGTCAGGCAACCTGTTGGGCTGGAAGGGGAGCAGGATCAAAGCTGAGCCTTCAGGTCACTATCTAATCTGAGGAGCAATTTCATGCCTAAAGGTCTCCTGTTCCTCTGGAACACACCCGAGTTGCACACTGCAGGTGTTGATACTACTGTGCCTCTGGGAGTACAAGCACAGGGTACACTTACAACTGCACAGCCATTATCAGCAGCCTCCTGCACAGTGGAGCTGGCTTGTCTCTCACTAACACTTTTAAGTGTCTTTGTCTCATGTCCAAGCGTGACTCCACTGTACTATCCTATTACTCTGCCCAGCAACATTTTATTTCTTAGATCCTTTTCCCTCCTCAGTTATAAACAGGGTGAGACTAAAACACTGCTGCAATTAACAGCCTATTTGGTTGACAGGACCCAGAACAGGGTGTGGGAGCCCTCTGCACCCGGCTACTGCAACCTTGCTACTCTGCAGCTTTGGCTATCTCACATCCCGTTTCCATGATGTTTCTCCTCCCCATTTTGATGTGGGTATTTCAGTGCTGGCATTAGAGGCCCTGAACTCAACTGCATCACCCTGTACTGGACTGATTACAAGATGGAGTTTGATTACAAGATGGAGTCTGCTTCACCATTGTCTGGAGCATGGAGTTAAAAACCCTTGATGCCACAGCTAGGCTGCTGCAGGAGCTGAGCTACTTGCAAAAGCTTCAGGAGACACCTAGCAAGCCAGCAGAGGCAGGCAGAGGAGCAAAAAACATAAAAGGTTGTTACAATCAAAAAACGTGGGAAGGACTTACTCTCCCAAATAAGGTATGCCAGGCAGATCTTGCTTAGAGAAAGGGGAACTGGCCAATGGACACTCAGGGCCCATCTTGGTAGCAGATGACCTTTGCTTGGATACTGGTGAACTGGCCAGTGGGCATCCATCCGGGGGCTACCACGGGGAGGGTATTTAGGGCCCTGTCGGGAGACTACTGGGGGGGCTGTTTGAGGACTGCTGCAGGAGCTGCTGCCACTCTGTTACCCTGCTGGTTCTGCGTTCCTCAGAGGATACAAGGTGACCAGGGAAGAAGCCCAGCAGAGATCTACTAGCTTGCAAGCCAGCAGAACTTCATGGTGGTGGTAACTCCTGTCCTGTGCTTTTAACAGTTACCCTTAGCTTTTCCTACTTTTCTATCTTCCTTCTTTCTCTCTGCTCTCTTGTGCTACAAAATAAAGTTGAATTATTGTCTTTGGATCCAGCATCTGGCCTCGTTTGTGCCTTAATCTTGCTTATGAGAATGTTTTAGAACCTGGCTCCCCTCTGCATCTAAGCAGATTGGAACACACTCATGCAAGGGTTCAGCATGTTGTCTCAGAAGTGCCAACAGAATACAGCTAAGAAATGTCAGTCCAGCACTAGGGCACACCAGGGCACCTCCTCTGTAATCTCCCCAAGGGAACAGGAGAGACTGAAGCTCCCCAGTTACACACAGAAGGAGAGCTAATATTCAAGAAGCACTGAGACAACATGTCCTCAGTTGAGGTCTGTGCGATTCTGTCCTGTCCCTGCATGCAGCCCACAATGCATAGAGACAACCCCCAAAAACATGCTGTGTCCCCAGACCAGCATGTTGGTCCCAATGATCCCACGGAAAGCTCACAGATCATCCCATGGGCTCCCAGGCTTTCTTCCTTTGCACAGTGTCTCTCCACGGAGTTCATCTCCCCACGCTTACCTGCCCTGCGAGGTTGAAGTACGCGTGGTTTGTCAGGCTGATGGGTGTCGTCTTGCTGGTCTGGGCTCGATAGTTGATGGCCAGCTGCCTGCCACTAAGGGTGTAGGTCACCCAGACTTTCAGGTCTCCAGGGTACCCTTCCTCACCATCGGGGCTGAGCCGGAAGAAGCGGACACCATCCGGGAGTACCTCGGGGCTCCAGAGAACCTGCAAGGAGCATGACTGTTGGTGGGACAGTGATGGGAAACATCACTTCTCTCCTGCCACAGCCTGGGCTAAAACCAGGGACAGAAGGCACTCAAGGGATGTTGCACTGAAACAAAGGCTTTTTCATTCACCTTTCCTGCCCTTACTCCTAGAAGGGAAAAAAGGAAAAAACATTAAAAAAAAGAGACCAATCAATCTTTTTTTCCCTGTGAAGGACTAAAACCAAGATCCCCTTGTTGAAAAAAAAAAAAAAGGAAGAAAACACAGGCACCAGCCTGCTCTTGGTCAGCCAGGACCAGCAGCAGGGAACAAGTTTTCCAATGAGCAGCCAGACAAACAAGGCAGTTTGGCAGTCTGATGGTGGTCTGTTCCAGCCTGCGTTACTCCATGCCTAAGAGAGTCCACACGTTCGATTTTTGCCCTGCAGCTGGACTTATTCCCCTTTCCATGGATCTTGTGATGTACAACATCACTTCAACGAGCTGCCACCCTTCCCTCTGCTCACTAGGCTCTGGCTTCTAGGACAGTGTAAGTACACATCAGGAGCTCTTGCTCAGGGGCTGGGGTTGGGTTAAATAGTACCAGATGTATTGCCAGACACATCTACAGGTCTCTCTACAGAGAGCTGGCACCTCTCCCATTCTTGCCCCTGACACAGACCAGGGCTCTGCTTGAAGCCAAACATGCCAGCGAGTGAAGCAAGGCAGCTCACCACACAGATAGCCTGTTTGACCCTGGTCTGATGCTAAGGATGGATGTGTGATAAGAGGTGAGGTGTCTGGGCTCTGGTGTTTCGCATCTACCTAAGGAATAGTTACTGTCTACTCAAAGAGGAGAGATTTAGGAATGGGGGCCAGATAATGCTTTTGAGATGACCCTTCTCACGTCCTACCCAGAGATCACAAACAATGGGGCACTGTCAAAAGCCAGCATTTTCACCAAACATAGGAACTGAGGGTGCCAAATATACCAGGTTGCAGAGCAGGTCCTCCTGCACAGAGTGCAGCTCAGCTGCAGCTCCCACTGCTCTACAGATGCTATGGTTTCAAATACGAGTTTCTATTTAGGTTCTTTGAAGAAAAAGCTATTAAAGTCCAGGAAGCATAGAGGTATCATCATTTTTTTAAGATAAGAGGGTTATTTTCTGAAGTCCCCCAGCAGTGTGGTCATGTACTGCTGCCATGCAAGCACAGCTGCAAGACCCTCATCAGACCACACACTGACCGCAGCACTGAGATCTGCAAGATCAGGAAGAACTGACAAGATCTGTCAACATAGTCACAGCCAAATGCCAGTGTGTCTTGTTTGTGTTAGGGTTATCTCTGAACAGTGATTATTTTCTGGCTGGAGGAGGTCTTGAGAGGGTGCCCACATGTGCCCTGTGGGCCAGAGGACACACAGCTCTGGCTGGGAGATGTCACTGCCTTGTCCCCAACAGGCTGGTGTGCCTTCAGCAAGCAAGGGGAAGAGACCACATCCCCCACCTGCAGAAGACAGCCCGGAAGCCTCAGGTGCAAAGGAGTGCATGTTTTCAGCTCCAGATCACAGGAGTCAGGGTGCATAAAGAAACCTTAAACCAAATTGTCCTCTTTGGGGCACAACAGCCAAGGCATCCCTGTACTCCCTTTTTCCTGAGGCTGCTGAGGAGCATTTCATCCCAACCTGATGACAGTTCACACTGTACTGCCTAGAAGTGATTTTTTTTCTAGACACTCTGACTTTTGTCCCATCAGCCTGGATGTCCTTTCATGAAATAAAACATTAACCCAGGAAAGCAGCTGCACCAGCACATTCGCATGTGTTCCTCTGAGGAAATGGTGGACCTGCTGGTCACAAATACATTTGATCTGACAAAGCCCAGGAAAGCAGAGACTTCTGAGTCTGCTCTGCAATGAAGCAAGGTTATCAGCAAGGCTTTCAAGAGAGGAAATGCTCTGTTGCTCTCACCATCTGTAGTGCAGGGACAGTATTTGACTTCAGCAACAGTTCTTGGGAGAAGATGGAAAAGGCTGAGTGCCTGGGTGCCAGGGAAAGGTTATTTTAACTCATGAGGTCACAGGGGAGGGCTGGGAAGGAGACACAGTGGTCCTGGATCCTGGGATTTCAGGCCTGATCTAGTTCCCCACTGCTGTGAGTCAGAGTGAGAGCCAGGTGGGTGCATGCAATGACTGCACTGAACCTGCAGCACCACCCTGCTCTCCTCTTACTTGGAAGTGCTGTTACAAGCAAGCAGCAATGACAGTTTCTGCAAACCCAGGTCCTTCTGACTCTGGGAGGAGGTATGGGCAGGTACCAGCCTTTAAACTGCAAGTAGAAATCAGCCTGTGTGTATCTCTGTTTCCCAGGATACTTTCTTTGGGCACTGTCACACCTACAGTACCCACTCCAGGGTGGTACAGCTGGTGCCCAGAGAGCCTCCATTGCACTTGAGGTTGGTCCTCACTTTTGTGTCCCAAGCCAGGCTCTGTAGGAGCAGCACCTTGCCAGGACAACCCTATCAGAACTGGGCTCATGAGGCCTCAGGGCTGCAGTCACACAGAGGAAGCACAGCACCCCTCAGCATGACATCAAGGAAGATAGAAGCGAGCCCTGCAAACTCAGGCAAAGACAAACCAACCCAGCAGCTCACAGGATCCGTCTCACTTCCTCCCATTCCTGCACTCACAGCACTTTCTGAGCTGATTCAACTCAATAACCACCAGAAAATGCTACAGGGTCGGGAGGGAAGACATCATATCCTCTTGCCACAACCCCACAGGCTGTGTGCTGGGAGGACACTGGGACCACCAGCCTGATTTTCACCTTGTCAAATCCCTTGGCTCCTCCGTGCAGGCTGTTGGGCCCATTGTTGAGGAACAGCTGATACTCCTTCCCGTCCAAAGTGAACCTCCCCTTCGCAATCCTGTTGGCAACACGCCCCACGACAGCACCGAAGAAGGGGTGCTTCCTTGTGTAACCTGTCCAGAAAAACAGCACACGGTTGAACAGAAGGATTGGGACAGGATAGGTGGTCTCTGGGTGTGCTTATGGACTCAGAGGTGTCTCTGTTTCCCTCCAGGACTAAATACATGACTGCAGTCCCAGTGTTTAACAGGACACACAGCTCACCACTGATTAAAACAGCCCGATGGGATCTTATATTCTTTGCAGATTTGCAGAAAAGGGTTCTTGCAGTCAAGGTGTGATTCAGAGCTGCCCCATCAGAGGGACACACTGCAAGCTGGAGCCACCAGTGTCCCAGTTCAACATCCACCACATCCAGCCAGGACAGGCAGCAGGAAGTGTATCTGTTCAGCCCATGATTTGGAGGGGACCCTTAGAAGCAGATCGCACTGTAAACGCTGGTTAAATTGCTAAATTGCCTGATTGTGGGGGGATTAATTTTATTATTTTTTTTTTAAGAAACGGATTTAGACCCACCTTCCAAAGTGTCGAATCCCAGGACAACATCTGAAAACTTCCCATCCCTGTCTTTAGTCTCCAGGGCAGCGATGATGCACCCTAAGGACAGGATCTCCACTTTCACGCTGTCCGACTGTAAGACGAACTTCTCCACCTCTCCTCCTCCCTGCTCCGCGGGCATCCGCCCGAACGCCTCTCTCCGCACCGCTGTCATCGCTCCCCCAAAGCCGGCCACCGACCCTTCCGGGGAGCCGCAGCGCTGCCCGGGAAGGACGCTCCTGAGGAGGAAGGAACAATGGCGGCCGGGATGGGAGCACACAAGGCTCCAAAGGGCGGCCAGAACACCGGCCCGGCCGCCCCCCGGCGCGGGGAGGAGCCGCGCCGCGCCCGGTGCAGGGAGCGCTGGGCACCCTGGGCTGACACCGAGGGGCAGCAGCAGCCGGGTCCGGGCGGCGGGAGGTGGCCGAGGGGAGCGGGAAGGGTGCGGAAAGAAGGGAACGAGGCTGCGGCGCTCAGGCGGGCGCTGCCAAGCCGGGCAGTGCAGCCGCCAGCTCGCAAGTCCGAGGGACAGACCATCGCCTCTCCCCTCTCCTGTGCCCCACTTGCATCACACCGACACGACTTCCACGGCCCTTGCAAAGCGTGGCATGACAAAATGCTGTTTTCTCCCTTTGTCCTTTCTCCCCCTTAGCCCCTCCACAAGAGGCACAAGGCAGTGCCTGCTGTAAATCATGGTCAGGGTATTTGCTGGCCAGGGTGTTGTTATTCTCCAAGTTGTGGCTCTGACCCAGACTCCATTAAAAATCATTGTCTTTCGAAATATTGACCTCTGCCTGTCTCTGGTCTTTGCAGGCAATTTCAGTCTGCAGGAAAAACCCTGGCAACATGTAAGTAATGTATGTGCATATTTTTGACCTCTCTTGGCAAGGCTCAAGTGCAAGGCTAGAGAACCTCACTACAATTTGATATGGTTTACTTCTGTGAGAGCCCATTTTCAGAACTTGTTCAAAGAACCAATAATTCCTAGAACTGCCACCAAAAAGCCTCAATCAATCAACCAGTGGTTGCTAAATCTTAATTTCCAACACAGCCATCATCCTTTGACGGGACAAACTACAAATTCCAATCCAACACAGAAACAAAACCTCCCACCCAGGCCTGAGCAGAGATGGTTTGGAAACCCGCGCTTCTTTGTTGGTGACGGCCTCATATTTGCTGTGTAACACAAATGTCTGTTCCTGTGTTTTCTTCTGCACCTTTTCAACCAGTGCTCTCTATCCAAAAACAATATTGCAAGTAAACATGCTTTTTACTGCCCATCTATACTGCCTCCCATTTGAGACACGACAAGGAGCAGCACAAACCTTAGAGTGAGGAAGACCCCTGACGGATGGAAGAGAGGACAACCTCATTTATAACCGATTTATGAAGTGCTTTCACATGCAGAGTGTTCCCAGAAGCTCACTCCTTAGCACCTTGACTCCCTCAACACCTCTCCCTTAACGTGCTTCTCCAGACATAGGAAGCATTTCTGCTTTGCAAAGACCAGATTTCATTGACCTGTGAATTTTTTTAACATGACAGGGGTTGCCATTTTGATTTACTTCTCTGATTTGCAGCAGAGAAGGTCCAGATCAAACTCTTTGATGTAATAGCCATGGACACCCTGATTTTCTCACCTACCTTCACAGATGCAAGACCACTCAAGCCCCGGTGACATCTAAGGCTGTTCCAAGTGCAAAAGCAATATCACAGACAAATCTGTTAATGAACTAGCCACTCAGTTTTCAAGCTAGCAGATAAACTAGAAAAGAAACCAGCTTGCACAAGCCTGAATCTTGCAGGAAACAGTAAGAAGCAATGTCAGCTTTAGAATCTGAGCAAGGTATTCCAAGAGTCCTGCTTCATGACCTTGAGGATTTCTATTTTTAAGGAAGAGTTTGTTTTGGGCCTTATTCACTGTGGCACTGAGATTTGCTTACAGTGATGGTCAAATGCAAGCTCCTTGCATTTTTCTCTTCTTTCTTTGCAGAAGAAAACTGCAGTATTGGGCCTGGACCCACCTGGCATTGGTAGCAGGGCACTTCCACAGCTGGTGAGTGTTCAAAAGAGCTTGCTGTTCATCTCTGAGACTTTGGTTTCACTTCTCTGCTGTGCAGCTCTGCATGAGCAGCCGGGCAGTGCAATAGCTCTCTACTCTGCATCTTCCCTTGCTCTCACTGAAAAGGCACTGCAGCAGCCTTTTCCGACCCAAACCACAAAATGTTTGTGAGGAACAAGGATTTATCTGCTCTATTGCAGCCAGTGACCCTGCAGGAATAGCAGAGGTGTGGCATGAAGGCAGGCTACATGCTGCCCAGAAGCCTGGTCCCACTGGTCCCAGCTCCTCTAAACCAGGCAAGATATTCCTGTCTAGTAGCAAAAGCGAACTGGGAAGTCACCCTGTGAGTGAGTGGTCCTGTCTTTCCCCAACCAAAGAGCTTATAAAAAGGCACACTGTGATAAAGAACTGTTTTGTTGGGTTTTCGGGTTTTTTTTGAGAGGGAGCTACTATGAGAAAACAAACTTATCATGAGAAAAATTACAGAGGAGAATTTACTTCCCTGGGATCAGCAGTTTGGAAATTCCTGGTGCTTATAGGGCGGCTACCATTTTGCAAGACAGAAGTGAGTCCTTGGATTTTATATATGTTTGTGCTATTTTCTTAGGAATTCTTTATTTTTGTGCTTTTCTCAGATGTTTTTCTTTAATACAAAATAAAGTGACTTTGCTTAAAAGGCTACAGTCAACCAAAACTGTCGTGTAGAACCTGCTATGCCAAGATCCTTTTTCTGTTTGGTCGTAGGGCACTTCTGTAATAAATTACATCACTACATTTCCTTCCTTAATTTTGCCTTTATGTTAAATCCAGCTGTAATTTTCAGTTTATTCTGGGCCCAGAGCAAGACTTTAGGACTCAACTGATTAAAAGATAATTTTAAAAGGCAGTTCAGATTTGGGAAGGGACATGTGCTCCCTTATAGTATCTAACTCTGTGCTCCCTTATAGTATCTAACTCTGTAACAGAGGTCTCTGTTGTCTGTCTCTGTTACCCAGACCCATAACCACCATTCTCATCAGAGCTCCCTTGTGCAATGGAGCAGGAGTGCAATGTTAATGTTGCTCGCCATCCTTGAGACAGGTGAAGTGTGTGTATGCCTCCTGTGGGGAAATTTTGGACAATACTCCTGGGCCAGATTGCTTGGACCAGATCTCGTTTTGGGGATCTAAGCTGTTTGTCTCAGCACCATGAAGTGGTGCTGCTTTGCAGGCAGGTACCAGAAACTATCAAGCTGTTATTTCACCAGTGGCATTTTGATTTGAAGGTGACAGAGACACTCCAAACGCTGTAATACTTAAGCAATGGCCAATGATTACAGTTTGCTGTTGCTCAAGAAGCTTCCTTATTCAGTAATAGCAACAGTGATGTACCCAGCACTGCAGCTGGAGATGGGGTCTGTGGGGGTTGATTGCTGCACAGATACAGAAAAGAATGCAGACATGACTTCTTACACCCTCCAGCATTACAAGGCTGTAATTAAATCCCTTTTTCTGACAAACTCTGTATAAGCCCATGGGATGAGCTGGCACTTGAAGCCTGCTAGGAGTTTGCATCAGTACACAGAACAAAAGGGGAGACGTTTCCCCACCATTTTACTGTCTGCTTATTGAATGTATCTTCAGCTCAGCTGGGTACTTCCCGGCACACAGGCTTAAAATGGAGCCTGCAGTTTTTTTGCTTCATTTCTTCAGGGGCAAATATACTGAGCCATTGATTAGGTTATTTTGGGATCATGGCATGGTACAATTGCTTGCTGTTACTCTGGCAGTCATTTCTCAGAAGCCTGTTATGCACGTTTTATAAAGCTGTACAAAAAGCAGAGCTCCCCGAGAACGTTTTACACAGCACGTTTCTGATGTGCCTTTGTGCACAAGTTGTTTGTATCTCAGTAGCAGCCAAAGAGCCATTCAGATGTGTTGGTTGCTATAGTAATTACTTTCCTTGGGAACTAAAATAATAGCTTACAGCTCCTGCAGCTCGCTGTTGTGTAGGCTGCCTTGAACCAGAGACACTTCCATGTTGTTTTGGAGGGGGCTGGGGACTATAATGTATGCCAAGAGACAGACTTTCCTCTCTCCTTCCTATGCTTGTGCAGCTAATTTTGAATTTAACCTTTGCAGAGGATGTGCTACAGGTCTAAAGGCTCAAAAATAAAAGCAGCTTATGCAACAGTAGGACAGCTTTGCAGCTGCGGTTTCTGATGGGGCGAAGACTTGGATTTGCTTTCCATTTCTGTTACTGAAAGCTTGTGGGAGAGAGACTGAGGCTCACACTGAGACTGATGCACAGCGCTGAGGACCCTACAAAACAGTGGGTGCAGGGCTCAGAGGAGTTTCGAAAATGCCTCAGAAAGTCAAGCAGGAACGTGACAAGTAGGACAGCTCTGCTTCATTCAATATTTTTTCCACTGGTAAAGTCACTGCTGTAAGGACCTGCAACTCTGAAGAGGGCTCTGCATTGTCGTGGAGGAGGCACCAAACAGGAAGGCCTGTAAGTTGCTTTGGGCTGCTGGACTGACAAAACTGCAGCTCACAGCCAGATGGGCTGGCATGGTATGGCACTTCTGGATCTGCCAAGGAAGTAGAAGAAGAAAGGCAAGGGCAAGTGGCACAAGAAATTATAAGCCCGATTACCCTTCTGCATCATGAAGCGGCTGTAGGTTGACTGCAGACCACACTCATGACTCACAGGGGTTGACCTACATAAGGGTCCCAGCACCAGGAACAAGTATCAATTTGGTTTTGCACTCAGAGGACAGCAAAAGGGGAGGAGGATATAAAAAAGGGCTTGGGGGAGGGGGGCAGGAGGAGATAAGATGAAAGGACAGAGAAAACAAACAGGGAAAGCATTTTGCCTCATGGTGCTGTCCTAGAAAATTTGCTCTCAGATGTATACATGGCTGCACTGGCAGCTGGCAGGGAGATGCCAAAGGGAGATTAGAGCATCACCTACTAAAGGCTGTGAATGCACGCACAGCAGTTCCTGTTTGAGCAACAGCAAGAAGCAGAGTCAAAGGGAAGGAGGGTGTCTGTGGAAACCACAGGGCAAAACTGGGGGCCTTCATGTGCGAGGGAGATGTGCGTGGCTTGCAGGCAGCTGGTGATAAGAACTTACTTCACACATGCAGATGTGCAGATCCATTCCCCCACTCCCCAATTTAGGCATAGCATACACAGGTTTTGTGTCTACACAGCTGTGCTGCTGAAGTACAGTGCTTTACCAACAGAGCTAAAGCAACAAGCAGTTGTATGAGCCCATTCTCCCCAGGCAATGCTGGATAAAGCACCTTTTGGCATGCCCACATGTTCCTATATGAGGCAACAACAACAAAACTGGTATAACTAAAGCTAGGTGACTTTTTTTATGGAGGGATAGCCCTGGAAAGCCAAGGGTGATGCTGTTGTTGCAGTAAGTGGCAGTCCAGGACTGCTCTGATGTCCCAGAGCCTCGTGGAGGCAGAGAGAGCCTATGGATGCTGGGCATGGGGGCTCAGCCTGCCTTGTCTGACTGTCCCTACAGCCTGGGACAGGCTTGTTGTACCCTGCCTTCAGCTGACACCAGGCTGGTTGGAATTCAAGAGGACATGGTTTTGGTGTTCCCAAGCCCTCTTCCCCTCACAGTGCGGATGTAGCCAAGATTACTTGGGTAGTGTCTCTAAGGATAGTGCTTAAAGATCATGGAAATCCCAGGGTAAGACAGGATGATAGACTTTGTTAAGGAAATCCCTGAAAAAAATGATACAGGAAATCTGGAAGTGCTTCACTGCAAGGACTTATGGCTCTCTATTGTATTTTTAAATTTCTTTTTATGATTAGAGAGCCAAACCTTTAACTCACAACTGTCCCATTGTGCAGGCTTCAACTATGAGAACATGTAAAGTGTCTGTTCTGTATTAAACTTGTTGTGATGTTTCTTCTTTTTCTTATCTAGGAATTTCCTATGGCCCTTTTATAAAGCCCTTAGGCTAAGTTTTCTGCTTTTTTATCAGAAAATTTGGCTGCGTTTTTAGTCCTGGTGGATTGTGGCATACCAAAAACTCAAAATTGTCCCTGAAGCACACCAGTAGAGACAATATTTAAGCTACAAAATCCTAAATGCAGAGGGGGAAAAAAAAGTATTTATGTGTCAAGATGCTCTAAGAACAAAAAAAGTAAATCAAAGGTATGTGAAGATAAAATTTCACAATCAGTCCAGTGTATTACTTGATTCCACAGAATGTCATCTGTCTTTGAAACAGCTGCATTCATGGTGGCCAACACCTGCACTTTTAGCAGAGTAACAAAATTTGTTTCTTTAACCACAGTGGCCTCAGATGTAGGAGAATCTTGGCTTTCCTTAAACAGGAAATCTGCAGTTGTTATAGGGACTTTAAAGCATAATTAAAAACATGATCCAAGGATGAGATACAGCCTCAAGTTACCACAAGGCGAACAAAATGTTTAGATTGATTTAGCCACAAAAATGTGACTTCTGATCTTTAAACCATGGTTTAGGTGGGGAGCAGGTGTAATTCACGACCTTTGATTTCTAGGATTGGCAGTACTGGTCTAAAGAATGATTAATGAGAGTATTTCTGGACCACTAGATTTTTCTTTGGGTTAATTTGGGAGTCAATTTTGTTATTAATTATTTTATATTTGACATTTGCAATGACTCAGAACCTGCACTTTAGAAAGCCTTGTTATATTAAAAGCAAAAACTGCAGCTATATTAAAAATTTGGAGAGGCTGCAAAAACTTTTCTCTACTGGAGAAACAGTTTGTGCTAGGTAAGTATTATTGCTGGCATAATAACGATTTCTTCTCAGTAGCAACTATTCTCCCAGAAAGACATCATAAGATGGAAAAAATCTCCAAAGTTTGCTGTCACATGTCATTTAAATGACTTATCTCACATCACTGTATGGTAGGTAGCCTGTCTAAATGTGTGGCAACTGCTGGACAATGCATGAATGCTCCTGTGGAGTGTGAAAAGCTGAAGTGTGTCACCCAAGAAAGAGTGTCAATGGCACCCTAAGGACAGGCTTCATCAAGTGCAACTTCCTAGTCAACTCACGGGAGCTCTAGAGGGGTAGCAAAGATGGTACCATAGACCTTATCTGTACAATCAGCATTTCCTCAGGCAGGGAGGTTGTGCCAGACAAATGAATAGTCATGGAGTAGCTCAGGTGGTAATATGTATTGCAATTGCATGAGAGATAGCTCACTGCACATAGATACCTACCACGAGTTCACTGAGCCCGATTCCTCCACCCCCACACAGTGTTGTCATCTGTGCTGCCAGCAGCAGCAGCAGCCATGTCATTGTCACAGGTTTAGATGCTGTCAGTTAGGGCTAAGTGCAAGTGGAAATTATTTAATTTAATTTTATTTTGCTTTTCTTTCTTGTGAAGCAATACTTGGTGAACTCAGCCCCTTTGTTATAGTCAAAATCCTTGTGCTAGTGTCATGCTTGGGGAGTCCAGGAAGGTGGCAAAAGTAATGCTGTAGGGAAATCACAAGGGATTTACCTCAAGGTCATTGCAGCTAACTAGGTGAAATGGTACAAAATGTTTTTTATGGCTTTAGCCACCAGAACCTTCTTTGGAATAGGTGAACATAAGCGTAGACAACATTTTAATGATAATCAATAGAACTAATCCTGATGTACCACATACAGCAGAACTGCTTTTTTCTTACAAAGTATCTGTGCTGTATAATGTGCATTAAACCACTGCCCAAGCAAAGACATGTATAAGAGGTTGGTTTGTGCTCTGGGGCTGTAGCATCTCCCACCCGCACAAGGATAGGGAAACATCTGTTCTGCACCCAGTCTCACCCTGTAGACATTTTTTCTTACCAGTCAGATCAAAATCCATCACCAGTTTGCATTCCTGTCACTGCAAGCAAAGCAGTCCAGTGGTGCTGCACCATCTTGAATGGAAGCAGACAAAGGAGATCAAGGTTAGAAATGGAACACCATAACTCGTAGGAAAGCACCTGGCTCTCATTCTCTCACTTAGATACTGAACCTTATGCTCCAGTTAAGTTTTCACCATTGAAGAGCAAAATGCAAACCACAGAACTTCAATTAAACTACTATATTAGCAAATAATATCCTTTCTGTTAGCTCTGGTAGCTCTTCTTCACAGGTGCTTACCAAGTGGTGATTCTGAGAAGCAACCCCTGCTTCACAAATTAAGCACTGATCATTTCTAGGAAGTGTTGCCTAATATAAATCCAGAATTGTGAGCCATTCCTCCTGTGGGGATGCAACACTCAAGAACAAAAAAATGCTTCCAAGATCTCTGCATTTAAAATGAAGCAGCTATTTTAAGACAGGGAGGACAGTCCTGGTATCTGGATACAACTTTCCCCACAGATGGCAGTTGAGGTTGTAAGCAAATATCAGACCTGGCTAAGGGCATGATTTGTGTCCACAGAACAGGAAAGCTTTTGACCTCCTCAGCAGGACAGGCTGCCCCAGGATTGGAGCATTACACTGACAGGTAGCTAGGGCCTCTTACCTTTGCAGGCCATGTTGGTCAGCCCTCTTTTCTCTCCACACATCCCAATGTCCTGCTCGCTCCTCATGATTCTGTGTCCACGTTTCCTGAGCCAGGCAGGACAAGGAAGTTGCCTGGGTTTCTTTCAGAGCACTTGACTATGCACAGGGCACAGCCAATGTGTGTAGCACATCCACATCTCCTGGACATGCCAACAATCCAGCAACCTGCCAGCAAAAGGAAGAAATTTTGGGACTGCAGTTATTTAATGCTACAGCCACAAAGAAGCAAAGCCATCCCTCGATGGGGATGTGAATATTCTGTTACAGCGTTTAAACAACAAATGGTGTCTACTGTTTATGCAGAAAAAAGTGATCTGAACCAGCGAGAGGAAGTACTGGCTAGACAGATACGTTACACTGTCCACCCAATGCTGGTAACCAAACAAACCATAAAGGTAAAAACCCACCACCCACATAGGGGCCCCATACCTGGGGAAGAGCCGTGACTCCGGGACTCTTATCTTTGCTGTGGCTGAACGGTGCAAACAAGTGTAGTGGCTCTTGTCTGCTGGTGCATCTCTGCTGTATTCAAGTCTGAAAATCCCACAGGATGACCTGTCAGGTTGCCTTTTTATCCTTTTAACAGAGGGTAATCACACATGCTGTATATAACAAAGAAAAAGAATAAAGCATGCAAAGTCAAAACCACACATAATGGAAAATGCCAAGATGAAAGTTTCAAATGCAAGCTGATTTTGTCCCTTCATGCCTAACTTGTTGTGATAAGTACTTTTATTTTACAGCCATTGATTCATTTGCTCATGGGGCCTCAGCCTCACTTGGTGTACTGAGCAGGCTGTGCCCAGATAGCTCAGCTTTTGCTTTCCTCCCACTCAGACAGGGAGCCCAGAGCTCCTCAGCTCATCGCTGGTAAAACTGACTTGCTTTCTTTTGAGTATTTTTCGCTGCTGAAGGGAAGTGCATCACTGCCATGTGAGCGAGCACCTGCTGCAGTCTGCTGCAGGGGTAGAAGACTGATATGTAGACAGATTTTGGACAGATGTGTTCTGGCCATACACTTTTCAAGGGACCATTTGAGATGCTTAAGGCCTGATTTCACAGATAATGCGATTTTATTTTGCACCCGGTTCTGAAAACCGATTCTGAGCTTGCCAGCTCACGTGTAAGAAGATGAGCTAAAAACAGTGACTGATGGTAAGCAACTGGTTTAAGTAACTTGCCTATATTACATTGTCTGAAGAGAAAGCAGTGTCATCACTTTTAAGCTCCTTGTGTATGTGTGCATCTATGTGCACAATGACTCTATATAGACAGAAACATAGTGGTAATAAACAAAAACATTTGAAAACTTTGTGTCAGGTGATCCAAAAGAAAACCCGAGATCTGCTTTTGTGATTTTATGGATTGTGTACTTGAACTGACTACTGTTGGGTTGCCCCTGGCATGGAAGCATTTAAAAATCATGCTTTTCAGGTGCAATCAAAGGAATTAATATTTTTTTTTTCAGAAGTACTCATTAGACAGAGATAAACTTCTCTAAGTTTACTTAGAGAACTAAAACTTGGAGTTATTTGGAGTCTGATGCCTTAAGAAACAATAAATATCCCAGTATTTGTGGTCCTTTTGGAAGTGCTGGCAACAATGCAAGGCTTGGTGATTCTGCCATGTAAGGCAATGTAAGTCCTTACTGGTCAGTGGATCTGACCTCTACCACAGCTGTTTATCGACCCAAGCACACACCAATTTAGGTATTCAAGCCAGTGTCAAATATGTTGAGCAGTCACAGTTTCTCTTGACAACAACTAGTGTATCACATGCTTAGGACTATCAAGCTTTGGTTTCAGAAGTCCTACAATGAGTACCCAGACATAGGGGTCTCTAGGCTGCTGGTGGATTGAAAAGAGTAGCAAGTAGCAAGGAGAAGCAAGCACTGTCCAGCCCAGAGGAGAGCATGGACAAATCAGAAAGAAAATAATAAAATAATTAAAACTGAGAAGCAATTCCCAGTTTGGTTTGCCCAGGTATATTGGTGTTTTCACCATCCCTCTGCAACTGAGGCAGAGGCAGATTCCAGCAGGAGGGTGGTCAGAGCACTCATTTCTTAAACTGCTGAGACTAAACTCCCAAGAAGGAACAAAAACCCTGAAAGTGTAATGCTTCAGCATTGTAAGACACATTCCTCCTACAGCGAGCTAATAGCTTAATGTAACGTAAATTACAGTAAAGGATGTAAGAAAGGCAGGGCACAAAAGGAAGAGGAGAGAAAATTGTACTGGTAACAACATGTAATTCCAAACTATGAGTGTAATTATGCGATTTAAATTTCTGCAGGGTTTGGGGATTTTTCTTCATATCATTGTTCTGCTCTTTCTGTAATTATGTGGTTATACTCGACTGCACAGTGGCAAGAAATAAAACTAATTGCTGTTCTTATTGGAGGGTAGCAGACTGAAACCATGACTTCTGTTTATCACTTCCAGGTAACAAAAATTGTACGAAAAGAACTCTTTCAGGCAGCATTAGCATCTTTCTTCTCTCTCTCTCTCTCTCTCTTTTATACAAAAGCAGCAGGTCTGACGAGCAACATAACAGTGAAATCTGTCTGCTGAGTCAGATGCTCAGTTACAAACTTACATAATTGGAGTGTATTTCCATATTCCCTCCCTCCTTTCCTACCCACGAGGCACAGGCAGAAAAAAGGACTGCTCCAAGGATGCTCACAGTAGTGAGCAAGGAAGCCTCAATGTCACAAGTTAAAAAAGTAAAACATCTTAACATCTCCACATATAATTAAATACTGTACTAAGTCAGCAAAGCAGAGTCTGCTACCCAGTGGCACTAGAACCCATATACTGCACAGAGGCATCCTGAAACTCTGCTGTTTCTGGGAACACTCAGTAAATAAGAATTTGGTTAAACAGTATGTCACAGGAACACACAGGATGGTTTGGGGTTGGAAGGGACCTTAAAGATCATCTTGTCCCAAACCTTTATGGAGACCATGGAAGGGCCTGGTGTCATTTCTCCATTTTCATAAAAGTCCTTCTAAGTACATGGAGGATATTATTAAAGAAAATCTAATTATTGCAGCATTTCAATGCCATTTTCTGACTCTGGTACATTCTGTGATTTCTCAGGCTGTTACTTTTTGCAATGTTATGGTGTAAATGTCTGCTAAAATCCCAGAGCTCTACCACATAAAACTAATTTGCTAGAAACTTCATCTGGCAAGTAAGCAGAAATATCAGTAGTGTATTTGGAAAGAAGTGCTTTATGTTCATAGATGGCATGTTCCTCATTGACTGGTTCAACCTACAACAGATGTACACACAGCTTCAGCCCTGTGGACTGCATGCTCTCAAAGTTGCAATGCTCTTGGTTAAAAAATAGGTACAAGTATAAGAAATACTGAAAGAAAAACATAAACTAAGAAACAAAGACCAAAGAGAAAATGAGAAGGTGAGAAACACAGCAAATTCAGTTAAATCAAGTGTATGTGCTTGAAGATAAGGTGATTAGATGAGCTGAGAGATGCAGATTCAAATCATGCCAGGCAGAATGGGAAACTGAACCTCCTCCTACTTATTGGAGGAGTGCCTTTACTACTGGGTTTCAGAATAACAGAAAATGTGTAAACAACACTATCTGCTTTGTTTTCTAGCTTTCAAAGCCTACAAGTACCATTCAGATTGAACAACATATTTTATTTGATAGGTATGGGGCTTTGGGTTTTTCCCCACACATACACCAAAAGAAGAAGAAAATAATAGCATTTACTTTGGCTGTCTTCTGAATCATTTCCCTCCCTCCTATTTGGCTGCTCAAGTGAAAAAGCAATCATATATCCATTCTCCAGTGATCTACTTCAAGCAAGGTTCCACTCCACATCCATCTTGGTTTGGCAGCCACAGCTGCAGAAACTAATTCAGCTAGAAAGTCCTGTAAGCCATTTATAACATTGGGAGTCTTCTTGCCATGCCTCCATTCACAAAGAAGTCTTCTCCTAGACAAACTGGCAAGACACAGATTGGATAGGTGGTCTGCAAGATGGGTAGAAAATTGGCTAACAGGCTGCACTCAGAGGATGGTGATTAATGTTTTTAACTTGGGTTGGCAACCTCTCACAAGTGCCCTCCGCCGATTGACACTGGGCTCCATGCTGACCATCTTCACAATGATTTGGATGATAGGGGTTTACTGATGACACTAAACTGGGTGGTGAGGACAACCTGCCCTATGAGGAAAGACTGAAGGAGTTAGGTCTCATCTCTCTGGAGGGGAGAAAGCTTGGGGGCAGGGGGCTAATCTCAATATACCTCAGTATATCTCAATCTCTCTTCACAAAGAGCCACATGGAGAAGACAAGGAGCAACACGAATTTTTTTACAGTAAGAACAACCAGTGACTGGAACCCAGGGATGTGATGGTAGAGTCCCCGTCATGGGAGGTTTCCATGCTGCTACTGGACAGCGTGTTAGATAACCTCATCTAGGCTCCCTCCCATAAAAGTAGGACCAATGACTTTTCCAGCTCCCTTCCAGCCTAGGCTGTTGGATGGTTGTACGATTCTCTGCACACACGCAGAGAATGGGCTCCCAGAGCCACCTTCGATAACATCGCCCTGAAAAGGAACCTGAGCAGACCTACCATTTGCCAGCACACAGACCTGCGTGCAGCAACAATGTGAGGTGTGCAAGCAAGTCTAATGCTCACCGGGCTCGCAGGGATCGCACAAAGTGCGCTGCTGTTTCTCACCGGTGGACACCGGACCCCATCGGCCCACTTGAACTTCTTGCAAGGGGCCGAGGGCCAGGTATGGGTGCTCAGGAGCGGCCTCACAGCTCCCCGAAGCCTCCGTGACCTTGGCAACTCGCGGATGCCGTGGCCCTCGCAGCCGGGACACGCCGGCCGCGCCGGGGCCCGCGTCCTCCGCCGCCCAATCAGCTCAGTGGCTCCGGGAAGCAGACAAAGGCGGCGGGCCTGCAAGAGGCGGCGGTGGGCAAGGAAAAGGCCGCCGATCCGGAGGCGCTGTGCGGGCACCCGGGCCCCCAGGCCGTCCCCGCTGCCCCGCCTTCCCCCGCCCGACCCTGAGGCACGGCGGGGGGCGGGGCCGGGGCCGCCTCACCGCGCGCTGATGGGCTCGCTCCCCGCCCAATCGCCGCCGCTCTGGCTCCTGATGGACATCCCCGCTGGCCTATCGCGCGACGCACTCGCTCCCTCCCCGGCTGGGAGCCAATCGCGGACACCGGTGGCGGGCGGGGGGCGGGGCCGGCGCGCGGCGGGCCGTGTGGGGCCGGGGCGCAGAGCATCGCTCGGGTCGGCGTGCCGCCGGCTCTGTCCCTGCTCCCGCGTCTCCCTCACCGCCCGCCGCCCCTTCCCGCCCCTTCCTTCCCTCCCCTCCTCTCCCGCGGCCATGTCGTCGCCGTCGTCCGGGGAGCGGTACGAGGAGGAAGAGGAGGAGGAGGAGGACGGCGCCTACGAGAGCCAGGCCAAGCGGCTGAAGCCCAGCGCCGCCGCCGAGGAGGGCGAGATCGAGTACAGCGGCGCGGAGGAGAGCGAGGGCCGGCGGGATAAGCCCCCCGCGCCGCGCGGCGGCGGCGGCTTCTCGGCGGGGTGAGGAGGGACGCGGGGCCGGCGGGCGGGGGGGCGTCTCCCCTCAAGATGCGGGCGGGGAGGGGGCCCGGCGGCCCGTCCCGCCCTCCCGCGAGCGGGCCGCGCCCGCCCCGGCACTGCTGCCCCGGCGGGGGGGCCCTGCCGCGAGGGGGGCCGGGGGGCTTCGCGAGGCCTTCCCGGGGTCGGGACCACCCAGGATATGGAGGCGCTCCGGGCGGGAATGGCGGGGGGCGCCGGGATGGGTCCTCTGCTCCGCAGACGTGCGCTTGTTCTTCGCCGGAGCTGCCCGCGTGAAGGGGCTGAGCCTGCGGATGGATGGATGGATGGATGGATGGATGGATGGATGGATGGATGGATGGATGGATGAATGGATTGATGGATGTGAGGGATTTGGGGTCTGAGACTCAGGGATTGCCGGTGTTCCCGTGGGCAGCTGGCTTGCCTTTAGGGCAGTATCGCCATTGCAAATTTTGTGCCTGCCCTGTTGCTGATCGTAACTATAGAAACATGGGGGGATGTGTTGAAACCAAGGCAGAGGGTACCTTTCATCCTTCCGCTTTACCTTTGTGTCTGGCAGCGTACAGTGATAAGGCTGCTCATAAACGATTGCCTCCTTTTTAAATTCATTTGTATTTCTACTTTCTTCCTCCCCCACAAGCGCTGCTATAAGCACGCTGGTTCACTATATTTTGTTTTTTTGAGACGTACCTTTTCTTCATGAATATGCATTTAAGTATCAAGATAGCCTCGAGCAATGAATTTGGACTAACAACACTTTTGTGTCTGCTGTTTGATTCCTTAACTAACTGTCCGTCTGATTGTGACCATTATTCTTCTTGATGACTCTTTCTGTTTCTTACTTGAACAAACCAGATCAAGAAAACGTCGGTTTAAAGGCAGACCTCGACATTTAGAATACCTGTTTTATGGTTTGTTAAAATGAACTTGCTTAGCGCTGGGATGAGTTAGTGAGAGAGCATTTGCTGTTGCCATTTCTCCATCAGTTAAATCTTTTGATGGAGAGGGTACCTGCTCGATTTGTTGTTGTGGTTTAACCCTCGCCTACAACCAAGCACCCCACAGCCTCTCACTCCTTCTCCTCCCCCCGGTCTGATGGGGGAGAGAATCAGAAGGGTACAAGTGAGAAAACTCAGAATGTCCCCTCTTCCTTCTTCTTCCCTCACTTTATATGCTGAGCATGATGTCATACAGTTTGGGATATCCCTTAGGTCAGCTGAGGTCACCTCTCCTGGCTGTGCTCACTGGTGGAGCTGGTAGAAGAAGCAGAGAAAACCTTGGTTCTGTGCAGTAAGCACTGCTCAGCAGTAAGGAAGACGTGTCTGTATTTAATCAACACTGTTTCCAGCACAAATACAAATTATATCTCGTACTACAATGCAGAAAATTACCTTCACCCCAGCCAAATGTAGCACATTATTACAAAAGTTCCCTGATAAACTGCAACAAAATACATCTCTGGAGAGAACTATTTTAGTTCTCCAGTTTCTTGTGATGCAGCATCGTCTCTGTTGCAGTCAAGACTTAGCAATGGCCTCTGTCTTAAAGGCCAGTTCTGAATGGAATCCATATACTTGCTTAAGCTATCTTGAAATTTTGTTGTGTAGGAGAGCTGGACATCCTGCAGTGAGTGTTTCAAGTTGCAACAAGATTCTGCTCTGGCCTTTCCTCTTTTCTGCATTACTTTATGAAATCAACTAGTTCTTACCTTTCTCTTTTTCCTTCTTTCTGGGTTCTGGCTCAGAGTGTCTTCATGATGTATCAGTATCTCATTTTATCTGAGTTAATGTGCAGTAATGCTGCCCTGCCCCTTTAGGTAATGAGAGTATGGAGTATGTAACTTTACATTTAGGCTCTCAAGAATGGCATGTGCTGAGTCTTGTGAGTAAAGAAACTGAAGCAAATGTGTAGCAGGTCAAGAACATGAGGGTTTTTAGGCAGCTTGTTGTGTCAGTTGTAGTGTACCTCAAGGAGGTACGTGGTCAGTGGGGATTTATTGGCAAAGCTGTGTTCCCAGATTCACTATTGGAGAGGCAGAAGTTGTCTTGATAGTAGAGATCAAACTAGTTTTTTGAAAATAAGCTATAACATCAAGTGGATATATGAAAAATGAATGACTGAGTGCTTTTGTTAGTAATTTTTGTGAAGCATTTAATAGCAAAATGCCAGCATCTATTAAATAGAGTTGGTACGAATTTTCATTATTTTTTTTTTCTCTAATAGGTACAAAACTGTACAGGAAACTTACTTATTCTGTGACATATCTTATTAATTTTTCTGCAGGGAAATGTTCTCAGCTTATAAAAGTTGTATGGGGTTCAGACATACAAGATGAAGGTAGGCTGAGAGGAAGGAATAAGTGGAAGTATCCTGGATTGCTCAGAAGAGAGCAGAAAAAGAATAAGTAGGAGGAACTATAGAGAATTGAGGAACTGGGAGGAGAAATGGGAAAATGGATGACCAGGGTAAAAAGAGTGGTAGGAGTCTGGTAGACTCACTGTTTGATTTTTTTTTAATTTAATTTTCCCCCGACATATGCCCTGGAATATCAGTGAACTGTACACTCATGGATTAAATGCACCTGTTGTATAAAAGCTCTTTTGTGGTAGGACCCTGCTGAGCAGGTTGGTGGGGTCTCCTTCCTGGGCTATATTTATTGTTGTGGCAGTTTCCTGTTCTGGGATTGTTTCGTTTGGCTGAATAAGACTTTCACGTGGACACTTCTCATAACCCAGATGTGCACCCTCTTCTTCATGGCTCATCTCCAGGCTGAGGAGCACGGAGAGCCAGGAACAGACCAGAATGTTGACCAGAGAAAGAGCAGGATGTGTTCTTGCAGAAACATTCAGTGAGGGAGAGTATGATTTGGAAGAAGGACCCCTATAGAGGCAGTGTTGAATGGTAGTGAGGCTTTGGCAGAGGAATCAGATTTGCAGTGTAGCAGAGCGTCAGGACCCTGGGAAAACATGGGCTAAGAGCTGTGTTTAAGGGAGTTGAGGGGGCCTTTCAGCTCCATCCCCTCTCCTTCCCTTAAATTTCAGTTTTATTGATTAATGTTTTATTTATACAACCTGTAACATCCACTTCATCGCTGTCTCTAACATACCTATTCTTAAACGTTTCTGTGAGGTAGGGAAGATCTATTATACCTGTTTTTACAGTTGGGGAAGTGAGATGTGGTGTTTGGGTACACAAACATAACTACGAGCTACCGCAAGGTAAGATAGGGACGTAAATGTGCAGCTCCTCATCCGCTCTGTTGAAACTTCCTGGGCAGCGTTCTTGCCTGGTGGTAAGTGGAAGGCAGCTCTCTTTGCAACTCAGTTGCTTGGTGATTGTCACAGACAGTGTGGTAACAGCAGCTGGATGCAAGGAATTCAGATCTTGACCTATTTTCCAGTGACTTGTTCAAGTATCTGTTTCTTAAATGAAGTACATCCTAGAAATTGGTTTTGGAGTAAGTGTAAGTCATCTTCCCTCCGTTGTCCTCTCTCTCAAAACAAGTAACCATTACCTTCAGGCTAGTTCTTCTTCCAGTATCTCGGGTTGAATCTCCTGATCACACTGTGTTGTGAGGGGTGGTGTTTGCTTGGCTTTTGTTTTTGGTTGTTTTTTTTTTTGAAGGATGTTCAGATTGTGCCGAGCAGAGAGGAAAATATAATAGACTATTTCGTTTGGAAGGGACTTGCATCAATCATCTAGTCCAACTCCCTGACCACTTTGGGGGCAAATTCAGAATTGGCAGAGAGCTGATATTCTGTTCTGTAGCAGTTGAAATCATTAAAAGGGTAGAATGCTAGGAAGAAGTATGCATTAAACAAGAGAAATGATACCCAAACTCGTCATCCAAAATGAAACTAAACTGTCAGGTAGACTTCCAGAGTATGGGGTCATCAGACTACTCCCCGTGGGCAGTGCTGAGATTATCAGGAAATGTGCTGTGTACCTTCTCTTTGCCTTTTTAGTGCAATAATTTTAGCTACCTGTGTCATTCTGTGAGGTAGTTGGATGCAGATCAGTCCATAATTAGGCATTCATGAAGTTTTGGGCACTTATATACTTACTAAGCAACCTTTTAGGGCTTCCCCCCTCGGCCTCCAGTTCTGTCATATTTATAAAAGAAATTTCAAAGCAATTAAGAGGCATGCAGAGGGAGGAAAAAAGTTGAGAGTGAATAGGATA